TGTTGCTGAAAAATCAGAAGAAGTTTGGCCATTTACATTGGCCAAATATTGATGATAAAAAGAAAGGTCAAATAAGAAGAAAAACGAATAAATTACCTTTTGCACTAACTTCAGAGAAATGGCAAAAATTTCAAGAGGCTGAAAGATCTAAGAAAAGTTAAAACAAGAGAACATGGAAAAGAAAAAGAATACTTAAAAAAAAATACTTAAAAAAGAAAAAAAGCTTCAAGAAATAAGAGGAAAAAGAGTAAACAAGAAGGTGATAAAATAATAATGATAATAAACAGCATCGGATGACACAATGACTGTCAAATTATAAGAAAGAATGATTTTTTTATTATTTATTTTGTATTTAACATCACGTTAATTTCTAGTTCATGATTACAGAAAAAAGTTAGCATTTTACAAGTACTTGTATGTTATAATTTCACAAATAGTCTTGTTTTTATATATTTGTATGGCTAAAAAATTCATAAAGAGCATTAAAAAATAACCAAAATTAAGTGTTCCTTTACTGGGCAATTTTGTGTTCTTTCACTGGTAAGAGCTGTTTCTTCACTGGGTCTTCTTACTACTTGTTATTTGAATTTCCAAAACTTTAAAACAATATTATGTAAGTCCTCTACAATTTTTTTGCATAGTCTGCAATTAGTAACAAATATGTTGACACTGTCATTTAACTGAAATTACGAATTTTGAAATTAATATGATTTTTTAAAAGGCAAGTGAAGCTTAAGTGTTCCTTCACTGGTTAGTTTACCTTAAATCAGAAATAAAATTTTATGAAAGTAATATTTTACCAACTATCAGTCCAAGCATGTGCAAAGTCTACAATGAGCATAAGTTGAATTATGATAAACACAGAAGCTCCAGCCATTGAGATATACATCCAAACTATGTTTTAAAAAAATATTTGTTTAAAACTTTTTAAAAAATGTTGCATTTCAAGTCATTGTTACATTCTGCTATAAGCGAAGTTACATAATATCTATAATTATCTACTTACTATGGCCATATAAAGAAACATAGTTTGAAGGAATGAGAAAAACGCCTGCACATATGAGACAAAGGATGAAGAACTTCCAACCCCACATTCTAGAAAATACAAATTTATTATAAAAAATCAGAGCAAGCACTGACTGGAGAATAAATAATCATCAGAGATAAATCGTAACACATACATAGTGGATGAAGAAATTTTAATAACTAAGTTACAAAAATTGTGGCCGTATCCCATATTCATCGCAGGGAGCCATGATGATGAATTTCAGATTTCTAATTTCTTAATAGAAAAGACTTATTAAAGAATCAGTCAGTTATGCTAAGGCAAATGCTTTGTGTCAGGGAGAGGTGCTATTAAATGATGAAGCAGTTAAAGATTGCTTTAATGCTGATTTGTCACATCGTACTATTTTAACCGGCCAATACCAAACCAGCGATAAAGACAAAACAGTAAAAGAGAATGTGTCGATTAGTAAATGATTTAACGAAGGAACTGATTTCCGAACTTAAAACAAAACCAAAAAACTTAATTCCATAGGAACAAATTACACAGCTGTACAAATTATAGAAACTGAAATATTAAAAGAACCAGAAATGTTTTAAATACCTTAAACTTATCGATTTTTACAAAAAATACCTCTGTTGTTCAGGATAAATAGTGATTCGGTTGTAAATTCCATCATTGTTTTTATTTATTATTAAATAACACTTTTTATTACATATTATACTATTTTTTTGTTAGTTGATGTTCAGATCCAAAATCCGGAATATCAGCAGCAATCAGTGTTGAGGATTTGGTAGGTACTTTATTTACGTCGCACTAGAGTTGCACAGGGGGCTATTGGCGACAGTCTGGGAAACACCTCTGAGGATGATCTGCAGACACGCTATCGTAATTTTGATCCTTTGCAGAGGGGATAGCCCCCCTGCTTTGGCAGCCCAACGACCTGCATACAAAGTTGAGCACGTTACAGTAGAACAGTTTACGAGGTTCCTGTCTAAGGATTTGTGGTCTCATACTGTATATTAAAACTTATCTATACTCTGTTTAGTGAGAACTGATAATGAAAGTAAAGAAAGCTATCCAAAACTTGGCACTAACTTTAGCTGATTGCCAAGTAATAACAAATAGCATTAACATGACTAATGGTAAATACAAATGAAATCACTGACTCTTCGAGGAACCAGCAAGAGTAGGTTATGTTTAATATGTTTAAAGGAGAAAATTTAAAAAATTTTACCCATTGTGTAAACCAGATCTACAGTTAAGACTTGTTGATATACCAATTGTTAAAATAGCCTGTACAAAGAAGAATATGGCCATAGCTAAGGACACCCTGTAAACTGCCATGTAACCAACAAGCAAATCACA